ATGTCCATTTTGTATCTGTGTATTCAAAGTGGTTAGGATAGATATTTGCTTACATTCTCTTAATGAATAGAGGGATTTGTTCTAATAGTGTTTGTAGATAGGATATCAAGTCCGCATCTTGTACAGCAATTAACCACTAGGAAGAATGTATGCAATGTGTTAATTATTGAAACTGTCCTACCAATTTTGTTTGAAACAGTCTCATTGCTATTTGTTTCTCAATAAAATTATGGAAAAAATTTATTCTGAGGTTACTGATGATAATCAAGAATTGGACACAGCCCAGTGGCCACAGAACAAAGGACAGACACACATATACTTGGGTTCATTTACATGCTGGAGTATTACTCAGCCAGGAAAAGGAAACCCCAACACCTGCCACAGTATGGATGGACCTTGAGGCCGTGCTTCTTAGGCAACTGTGTCAGTCACAAAAGGACACATGCTACCACTCCCAGGACAGCCCCAGTGTCATCAGATCTAGACACAGGAAGAAGGACATGGTACTAAGCTGGAAAAGGGATGGAGGCTCAGTGTGAGGAGATGGAATGCCCGTAGGCATGGTGCAAGCAGCCAAATTAGATAGATTTTTTTTTTTTTTCGGAACCGGGGATTGAACTCAGGTCCTTGCACTTGCCAGGGAAGCTCTTATTCTACTGAGCCATCTCCCCAACCCTAGATAGAAATATTATAGGCAGTTAGACAGGGCCAGGCCCTCAAAGGAGATAACACAGAAGACAAGACATCTCACAACTGTGGGAAGGATGGATGCTCCTGTTGTGAGCCAGAGACCGAACAATGCTGAGTTCCCTAAAGATTAGCATCTGGGATTGATCATCACCCTGAGAAAGCCAGGGAGAATCCTTATCTGATGGTCAACAGATAAAGTCCTGGGGGCCGGGGAGATAGCTCAGTAGAATAAGCACCTGCCTGCAAGCACAAGGTTCTGAGTTCAATCCCCGGTACCGAAAAAAAAAAAAAAAACAGATAAAAGTCCTGTTTTACATTCATTCCTGCTTGCTACGTGACTCCCTTCCCCATTTGGTCCTGGGCTTCATCAATTTTACCTGAGCAATGGTGCTTGTAATCCCATTGATTGACTATAGTTTTGTCCCACCCCACGGAGTTCCCATTTTCTCCACCTCAGTCCTGAATGGTTTTACACTAGGAAGGTCCCTGGAAGAGACAGCTCCCCGGGGTCAACCCGCTCAGCCCCCCTCTTGTCCATCTCTCAGACAGAGGCTTTCTTTCTCTCAATAAATATATTCTGCTCGTAACCTCCGTTTTGTTCCTAAAATTCACTCTTCGGTTTTAGAGAACACGAACTCGTCCAGGTCAGGTTGGGAGATCATTTTTCCCTACGTCATTTGGAGGTTCCCTGTATTGTTTGGAGGTCACCCACCCGAGATCAGTTTTTTCCCTGTATCAGGTGGACAGCGGGGACAGTGCATGGTGAATATACTGAGGGTCTCTGTGCACTTACAGCCTTTAACCTGACCTGGAAACTGTACGTGTCATAAATTGAATCATAAATCGCTAAGGAAGAACAGACCCTCAATCCACTGTGACCAGGGTCCTAAAAAGGGGGGCATTTGGACATAGAAAGCCACATGGAGAGAATATCCTGTGACAATGGAGGGAGAGAGAGGGGTGACAATCTGACAAGCTGAACACACTAGGATTGCAGCTACTGCCACATTCAGGGCAGGGTAGCTTCTCCCTGGTGGCCTCAAGATGGAACCAGGCCATGCATGAGGCCAAGGCAGGAGGATTGCTGTGAGTTCTAAGCCAGTAATAAACATGGTCTGTTTAAACTCCTTTTTTTTTTTTTTTTTGTGGTACCGGGTATGAAACTCAGGACCCTGTACTTGCCAGGCAAACACTTATTCTACTGAGCTATCTCCCTGGCCCCCCGTTTAAACTCTTTCTCTGTGCTGCTTTGTCACGGGCCACCCCACCAAACTGTGGCACCACCTGCCACTCAAAGTCACTTGGCCAGTGTGAACTTTCTTTTTTAGTTTTGTTTTTTTGAGACAAGGTCTCACAGGCAGTGCAGGCTGGCCTTGAACGCATTATGTAACGCAGGCTAGCCTTGAACTCACTGCCACTCTCCTGCCCCAGCCTCCCAGTGCTGGGGCTGCAGGCGTGCCCAGCACACATCAGCGGGGGGCGCTTTGTTCCCCACTCCCCCGCCCGCAAGCAGCCTGCACTCACCTCCTGTCTATCATCTGGTAACACTTCTTCAGCCAGCCGATGCCCGGCATCCTCCGCCGGGGGGTGGCACCATTCAGATACACGATCATGTAGTCCTCGGCCACCAGCAGCTCCAGGCTGCTGATCACGTACCTGGGTGCGGGTACAGAAGGTAGAAGTGCACGGGCTGGTGAGATGGCTCAGTGGTCTAAAGCACCTACTTAGAACAAGCTTAGCAAAGCACAGGGACCGCGGTTCAATCCCCCAGCACCATATGCCAGCCGGCCCTGTTGCCCCCTGGTGGGCTGAGCTGGCCACACACACACACACACACAAATAAACAAAATTAAAAAAAAAAAAAAAAGAAGGTGGAAGTGCAGTGTCAGGGGGTGGCTGTCATGGTACCGTGCATGTGCCCGGTGCGGAGCATTTTGTACGATTTCACTGAATGCTTCTGATCCCTGGTATGGTGTTAGTCCCAGCCCCAGCCCCAGCTGGGAACAGGTGTCCACAGAGAGCCGGGACTGGCAGATACTCCATCTGCTCTGGAATTCAGGAAGCCTGGGGCCCATCTCTCTCCTTGGGGGACCAGCAAAATCCTTTCCCCTCCCTGTCTCTACCTCCCTGCCTAGGAAGATGGTGTTGGTGCTGGTGACGGTGAAGGCCATGGTAGTGGTGATGGTGTTGGTTGTCACGGTGATGGCGATGGTGGTGATAATATTGAAGACAGGGAACCTCATAAAGCAGGTTGTGGTGAAATCCCAGCACGGGGGAGGCTGAGGCAGGAGGATCGCCATGAGTTCATAGTCTGGGCTATTGAGTGAATGCAAGGCCAGCCTAAACTACGTAGTGAGACTGTGACTCATATATAATAAAGCAGGCTGCTGGCCCACGTCGTGGTCTGCTGATACCTGCGCTCTTTGCAGGGCCCCCAACCTGGTACCCCAGGGACTGGGCTGTCTCAGCGGCATGGTGCTGGCCCAGGGCTGCCCGCAGCAGATGGGACTTACAGGAAGAGGTTCTCCATGATGTAGTGGTAGTCTGGGGCGCTGCTGTCCGGGAGGAAGCAGGCGGCGAAGACAATGATGGCGTTGAGGCCCTCCCCGTAGTACCCTGCAGGAGGCATGGACAAGTGGCCCAGGGTCCCCAGGAGTCACGGGACAGGTCCTCTGAGCTCCTGTACCTAGGCCACCTCCTACACACCTCGTCCTGCCCCAGCCCACTGCCTTCCCTGAGCAAGGCAAAGCCTCCGCAGAAGACAGCAGCGTCCAGAGAGCGGCCGGAAGCCTCCGCCCGCCACAGTGAGGACAGAGCACAGGGCTGGTGCAGGGCTCACCTCCGTGGGTGACCACCTTCATGTACGGCCGGATCATGTGCAGGTCAATGCGGTGCTCCTGTTCCCCGAGGATCACGGTCCGCCACAGCCGCCCATTGGCGGCACTGCCGTCCTCCGCCGTGCTGTCCCCAAACAGATCTGCGCTGTCCCCGGGCATGTTCTTGGCGGTGGCCACAGGGGTGTCATCTGGAAGCCAGCCGGGCGGGGGAGGCAGGAAGCACACCTGAGTCCGGACAGTCATCCTAACCTGCCACCCAGTCCTCCTCCCCAGCCTCCCACCACTGCTCCCTGGAAGTGGGGTCTCAGCTTCCACCTGCCCGGCTCTGCTTGGCCACCTTCCTCTCCTGATCCATGTTCAAGGCTTGGTTCGAGCGCCACCACCTCCAGGAAGTGCCCAGGATGGCCGCCCCAGGCAGCAGGTGTCCGGCAGCTCCTGTGCCTTCCAGCTGCTCCATCCTAGCCGTTTTCCTGGTCACTGTCTATAGCTACCTTCTTTCAACAGATGCTAGCAATGGAACCTAAGGGCTCTGCAGGAGTACCCTGTATCCCTCCTTTGTGGCAGTGTCCACTTATCTTCTGGCATCTCTCTCTCTCTCTCTCTCTCACACACACACACACAAACACACACACACACGCGTGCTCTTTTCCTGTATTTTGCTGACTAAGCATGTTAGGGTGGAATGTTGGGGAGACCGAGTGGGGATGGAGTCGAAAAATCACACCCAAGCTGGGTGCAGCAACACACACCTGTCATTTTAGTTACTCAGGAGGCCAAAGCAGGAGGATTGTGAGCTCAAGGCCAGCCTTGGCAAGCCACACACACATACATACAATGTCACACCCAAATCCTGTTTTTTTTTTTCTTTAAAACTGTGGATCATGAGAAAATGCATAAGGACAGAAGTAGGTGGCCTAGGTAGAGCCCAGCTTTTAAAGTGGGCCCCTCTGTCCCTCTTGCTTTTCCTGCCTCGAGACAACCACAGGCCAAGAACTCAGGGCTCAGCGTGAGCCAGGCTACCTGCTCAGCCGGCGCTGCTGCTCCACTCCCCAAGGACCCTGATGTGACAACTGGCCCCCAAGTGTCACTCCTACCTCCTGGCACACCACTATCCTGCCTGTTCTCTGGCCTCCCTGTGCCTATGGTCCTACTTCTCTCTGGGTACAACACGCAATGTCTCCAAACACGTGTCACATGCTGGATCTGGTGGCCGCTGCCACGGATGCCTTTGATCATTCGGAGACTCTGGCCTGACTCCTCTTGGGGACCCTAGGGTCCCAGGAGACCTGCTGTCACCACCTCAAACCGTCTCAACCTCTGCCTGGCTCCCTGCTCCATGCTGATCACACAGGACCTCAGCTCAAGTGACTGCACCCAGCTGGTCTGGCTGCCCTGGAAACGGAGCTCCACACTTGGGGCCTCACCCAGGCCTCTGCTTTTGGCCCTGGGGAAACTGAGGCCAAGTTCTCTGTCGGGTGCCCTGGCATGGCAGGGTGCTGAGTGGCAAGCCTGCTCTCCACTTGCTCCAGGCCAGGGGCTCCCCTCCTTGTGACAGCCACACTCCTTCCCAGACAAGGCCCAGCATGGGGGGGGGGCCCTAATCTCTCACATCACTTCTTATTCTCTTTTGACCCCCAGGACCGTCGCCCTTAGTGCGCAGATTTCGTCATTCAGAGCCTTTCTTGCTGGCTCCCTCTGTGCCCAGGTGGGGACGGTCCACATCTGCCAGTCATTTCGCCACCATGTCCCCAGGCCCACAGTCAGGACCTAGCCAGGATCAATGTGCTGCACTGACTGGATGTGGGCCAGCGGCCCTGGTCACTGTGGGCACCTACAGGAAGCACATATCCCCCCCTCAATGCTCACATGGACGCAAGAAAAAGTGTGTCCAGCTGGGCATGGTGGTGTACACCTGTAATCCCAGCACTCAGGAGGCTGAGGCAGGAGGATCATAGTGAGTTCCAGACCTACCTGGGCTACAAAGTGAGCTCAAGGCCAGCCTGGGTTACATAATGAGAGTTTGTCTCAACTCCCTCCCCTACTGCCCCCCCCCCCCACGCACAAGAAAGAAAACAGAAAAAATAGCAAGCAATTGTATGGCTATAGACCCTCCCAGAGAGGCTCTGAGTTAGGCTCCTGTGTCCCCAACCCTCCTTTGTCATCCATCATGGGTGCAGAGATGGCTCTGGGATGTGGGCAGGGAGGCCCCGAAAGAGCCCCTCAACCATTACCTTCCCACTCCAGGTCGTTCCCATTTCCCAGGAACTCCAGTGAGTCGGTCTCATCCGGGGTTTCGATGTCATCCACATTGATGTCCAGGTCATCGGGGGTGTCCAGGAAGTCATCGGACAGCAGAGAGCCTTCGCTCTGGTCCAGGGAGATGTTGATCTCGGGGGCCACCAGCGTCTTCCTCTTGCGATGAGCTCCCCCGAAGTTCAGTGCACTGGGTGGGGCTACAAAAGCCGCGAAGGCAGGGTGCGGGTGAGCTACGTCTCTCCCTCTTCATCCTCATGATGGCGATAAAACCCAGGGCTTTGCACTGAGCTACACCCCAGCCCTTTCTATTTTTTGCTTTGAGACAAGGTCTTACTAAGCTGCCCAGGCTGGCTTCGAACCTGTGATCCTCCTGCCTGAGCCTTCCTAATGTTGGGATGACAGGAACCCACCACCACACCACACCTAACTTGTCCCTTTTTATTTTATTTATTTATTTATTTATTTATTGGTGGAACTGAGGATTGAACTCAGGCCCTTGCGCTTGCCAAGCAAGCGCTTATTCTACTGAGCCATCTCCCCGGCCCCAGTTGTCCCCTTTTAAAGCAGTTAAGCCAATCCAAGAACAAACTGAGTAGAGGTGGTCCTTTGAAGTGAGCCTGGGAGGAAAGACACCCTCTGACCCCAAAGTAGTATCTAAAACAGAGGTGGAAATGGGGGGGGGCTGGATCTCACCCTCAGCTTCATCCTGTGACCCCTGAGGGTGCAGTCAGCGGGACCCCTATTCCTTGGTGATTGAAGGGTGACAATTGTTTTTCTGGCAGTAAACGCACTGGCTCCTGTCTTTCCCCCATGAACTTCTTGGTTCCTCAGCTTGGTCCCTGAGCTTTTGAAGGAATCAGTGTGTGCCTTGGCAGAGAAATGTTATGTGTTCCTCAGAGGTCATGAGCTGGGTGTGGAAGTGCACACCTGTCATCCCAGCTACTCCAGAGGCTGAGGCAGGAGGATTTCCAGTTTGAGTCTCTTGGTTCTCCCATCTTCCTAATGGGCAGTGGGTCTGGGAGGTGAATTTAGTGAGTCTGGCAAAAACTTTGCTCTCTCTTCCTGTTGAGGTCACACTAAACACCACAGTGCAGTGGGAGGCTGTGGGTGTGTGGACGTGACACTGGTCACTAGCAGAGAGAGGCAGGCAGCCAGTGACAGCACCATGTGGGCCCCAGGACAGAGATTTGAGCCAAAGAAGATTATTCTCAAGCTTTGAAAGTGAATGGAATTTGTCCTTAATTAAAAACAAAACAAAACAAAAAAAGGACAAAAACATCAATAAAATTTGCCCTAAATAAAAAGAACCAGGGTGCAGGGGTGCAAGGCATGTAGCACCCCGGCAGGCTACACACCCCAGCACTTGGGAGGCTGAGACAGGAGGATCATAGTGAGTTCCAGACCAGCCTGGGCTCCATAGTAAGTTTAAGGCCAGCCTGAATTGCATAGCAAGACCCTGTCTCAAAACACAAGCAAACAAACAAATCAGGGATCAATCAAGCCCGTTACAGTTGGGTCCTGGGACATCCATTGTGACTGGCATCATCATTGAAGGGGACATTAGGACACAGACCAACACATGGGAAGAAGAGGCTGTGAGCACTGGGGCAGAGATCGGAGTGACCCTTCCTCAGCCCAATCTCTCAGAGTTGATAGCCACCCTTAGAGCTGTGCCCAGTGGGGACAGATTTTCCTCACTGCCCGGGGAAGCCAGCCCTGCCCACACCTGGACCTCAGCCCAGCCTTGCTGCCTGACTCTACGCAGGGCCGGAATCAACTGAAGCCACCCACCTGTCAAACTTAATGCTGGCCTGGGAGAGCCACACAGACTGAGGTCGTTTGGTTTTGGCTTTTGTTTTTGCCATACCAGGACTGAATCTAGGGTCTTCACACTGAACTAGCTCCCAGTCCACTTTATTTTATTCACTGATGTGTTTATTTTTATTTTTATATTTTGAGACAGGGTCCTGCTAAGTCGCAAAGTTGCCCAGGCTGGACTCAGACTTGCGATCCTCTTTCCTCAGCCTCCTAGAGTGCTGGGATGACAGGCCTGCACCACCATCCCCAGCCAGAACCCCTGGTTCGAGGGGCCAGGAGCTGGGTCCCCAACCCACGCTTTGCACCTGTCCTGCCTGCAGCCCCTTTCCTCGCAGACTGTCCTAGGCTGGTTGCTCTCGGGGCTAGAGGCCAACAGTAAGTCTACCTTAGGGTTCTGCATGGGGGGTGCTTCCCTTCAGTTCCTGGGGCCTGGGAGCCCTGGAGTTTGGGACAAGGAGTTGCTCCAGGAAGCCATTGCCAGAGCCCTCAGCTTGTGGCCCCTCCCCCCATCTGCAGAGCTGACAGCAGACAGTCTCGGCCTCCTGCCCTCCTCCATTCTGTGTGTGTGTGTGTGTGTAGATTTTAAAGAATGGTCCCATGGGGCCACAAGGGGCTGGCAACTCCTAGCTCCTCAGGCGGCTCAGGCGGGGACACCAGGCAGGAATGGGCACTGAGCGCTCCACCGAAGCCATGTTCCGGCGGCATCTCTCCCGCTAGGCTGATCTAAGTATTTCTCTGTTTAACCCTTCAACTAATTAGAAGATGCCTAAAGAAGGGCCATCCTAAAGAAGGGCCATTGTCTCTGCTCAAAGTCCACTAATTTATATTTAATCTTATCTAAAAATGGCATTTTAGAAATGTCTGGAATAATGTTTAATCTAATATCCAGGTGGACACATAAAATTAGCCACAACCTTCCTTCCATCTCTAGGTTTCTCTTTCTTGTGCTCTCCCTTTCTCTCTCTCTCTCTCTCTTTCCTTCTTTCTTTTTCTTTGGTCTCTCTCTCTCCCTGTGCTGGGGAGAGACCCCAGCTGCTTGTGCCTGCTGGGCAGCCGCTGGTCACTAAGCTATACCTCAGCCCTTTTTATTTCATTTTGAGACAGGGTCTGGCTAAGCTGCCCAGGTGGGTTGGAACTCGTGGCTGGCGCTAGCTTCAGGTTTCCTAACAAGGCCGGGGTGTGTGGCTCAGTGGTGAGCGCCTGCATAGCCGGTGCACAGGCCCTGGGGTCCAGCCCTACAACAACTAAGGCCAACTGAACCCCATTCCCTCATCTCCCCTGCCTGGAAGGGAGCCCTGGTTTCCACGATGATGAGGTGGACAGATTCATGGGGCGCTGCTGGGGCCAGAGCGCAGGGCAGAGTCCACACAGCAGGATCCCCGTGAAGCTCAGCCTCTTGCGCCTGACTCCAGGGTGACCAAGCATCCAGAGTGTCCCCAGCATTGTCCCCCTGGCTGCCTCATGGGCTCAGCAGGGTACTGGAAAGGTGCAGGATGGGCAGGCTTGGCTGTGCCTGCTGTGACCTCAAGCCAGGCAGTGCCTCTCTGGCCCGCCTCTCCCCTGGAGTTGGGCCCAGTACCGGACAGCAAGGAGAGAAGCAGATGGGGGTGAGGACCCGCGCGGGGCAGGGGGCAGCTCCGCCAGCCTCCCCAGCAAGGCCCCAGGTCTGAGCGTAAACTTACAGGACACATCTTCCCCAGGGCTTCCCAGCAGCTCCATCCCCGTCTCCTCTGGGAGCGGCCTGTGATCCAATAAGCAGATGTCAAAATCCAGGTGGAGAATGAGAAGCAGCAGCAGGTGAGGCAGACAGAACAAGAAAAGCAACAAAACAGATTCAGGTCCTGGCACTCCCTGACTCACTCGGCATGGAAAATTCGCAAGCCATCAGTGCCAGGGGACTCCTTTCTAAGTGCCTGCCTGGCAAGCACAAGGTCCAGAGTTTGATCCATGGTACCGGGAAAAAAAAAAAAATCAAAATAACATGATGCTTTTCAGGATTTTCAATTTATTTATTTTCTTTCAGTTCTGGGTCTCTGCAATGAGCAACAAACCCGCCCCTTTTTATTTTGAGACAAGGTTTCACTAAGCTGCCCAGGCTGAGCTTGAACTTGAGATCCTCCTGCCTCAGCTTCCCAGAGTGCTGGGTTTACAGGTCCATGCCACAATGCCTAGCTCAAAGGGATTCTCAGACAGGGCAAGGTGAGGCCCTGAGAGAACAAGGACTTTGTCTCCTTTGTCCCCTGGCTTTGTCCCCTTTGAAATATAAATCAAATTCTCCACAGGGTGACCCAGAAGCTATGGTCTCTGGTGAGCTGCTATCAGTGTAGCAGATGTAGAGTCAAAAGGACAGGAGAAGCTGGGATGGCCACACCTGTCACCCAGCACTCTGGGAGGCTGAGGCAGGAGGATTGCAAGTTCCACATCAGCCTGGACAACTTTGTAAGACCTTGTTTCAAAAGAAAATAAAAAGGGCTGGGGATGCTGCTCAGTGGTGAGCACCTGCCCAGGGTGTAGAAGGGTTGCCTCCCAGTCCCAGTGCTGCCAATAAATAAATCAATAAAACCAATCTGGGTCAGGGAGCTAGCTCAGCAGTCTAAGCGCCTGCCTGACAAGTGTAAGGACCCAGGTTCGATCCCCAGTACTGCATGCCGTGCCAACCCCAGAACAGGGAGTGGTGGTACACGCCTGTAATCCCGGCGCTTGGGGAGGCTGAGACAGGTTCACTGCTAATTTAAAATGTTAAATGTGGAAGAAATCGATAGCTGACTTTAGGAATTCTTTCTACTATCTTGTAACTTTTTTTTATAAATCTGAGACTACTCTATAAATAATAAAGATCATCTTAAGAAATGTGGCCAATAATGTATTTGCACCCTCGTACAGGGTAGAGTGCTGCAGTCCTGTAATCCCAGCCTTTGGTAGGCTGAGACAGGAGGGTCACCATGAGTTCGAGGCCACCTTGGGCTACACAATGAGTTTAAGGCCAGCCTGGACTACATAGCAAGACCTAGTCTCTGCAAAAAGTAAAATAAATTAAAAAGTAGCCATGATTAGGGGCTGGGGAGATGGCTCAGTAGAATAAGCGCTTGCCTGGCAAGCACAAAGGCCTGAGTTCAATCCCTGGTTCCGCCAAAAAAAAAAAAAAAAAAAAAAGTAGCCATGATTGATTGCATTCAACTGTCATCTCAGTGATTTTTGAGGCTGAGGCAGAAGGATCTTAAACTGAAGCCCAGCCTGGGCAATTTAGAGAAAATTTTTCTCAAGAATTAAAAAATACACCTGGGTGTGGTCATGCATGCCTGTAATCCCAGCACTTGGGAGGCTGACTGGAGCAGCATCATTGTAAGTTCAAGGCCAGCCTGGGCTACAAGGTGAGCTCAAGCCCAGTTTGAACTACATAGTGAAACCCTGTCACAAAAAACACAAGAATATTTTTTTCCAAAAAATTAAAAGATATAAAGGCTGAGAATGTTTAATCTCCACTACTACTACTTATTATTATTATCATCATTATTTGTTTCTAGGAATTGAACCCAGAACCTTGTGCTTGCCAGGCAGGCACCTTGTGCTGCTAAGCTATATATTCGGCCTTATTTTTTTTTTTTTTCTTTATAAATTGCAGGCTGACACCTGCTGTACCCAAAGCGGTTTTGTCCAACTCACAACGTTCTTTTAATATGAAAATTTGGTATTAACGTTTTCATCACCGAAATGCATTAATTTGGTCTTTCCTTCTTGCCTTGGTGGAGCCAGGAAAGCGACACGGGCTATGTCAGCACCCTTAAGGTGGGCTCCAGGAAGGCCGCCGCCGCTGCCTGGCCGTTTCTACCACGCCCAGCCGCCCAAACTTCACCATTTTCCTCAGTGCAGCTCAAGCCTCCTGTTCTCGATCAGCAGGACCCCATGCCCTTTCCTCTGTTTGGCTCCAGCCCCTGCTCTTCCCAGCAGGGGCCGCTTTGCACCGAGGCAGCTCCAAGAGCGCGGGCCTCCGGGCTGGAGCCAGGGACCTTCTCGCTCCGGGTCCTGGTCCCGCCAGGGACTGCGGGGCTTCCCTCGGCCATCCTGCAGGCGCACTGGCTGCGATGAAAGCCCGCACGGCATTGCAAGGAAGACAGTCAAAGATCTGCTGTGAAGTCACAGCTATGACATGAAAAGTTTGGGTTTCCGAGCCGGCCAGATAGCTCAGCAGGAGAAAGCCCCTGCTTAGGCAGAGCACAGCGGCTGGGGTGCGACTGGGGTTCCCGCCACCAGGGCGCGCTGAGACTGGGCGTGGTGGCACGCCTTTACGTAATCCCAGTGTTTGGGAGGCTGAAAACAGGAGGATCACCATGAGTCCCATCTAGATAGTGAGACCCTGTAGACCCTATACTAAATACACAGAAAAAAAGTCTAGATTTCCACATCCTCACAAAAGAGGGCTTATCCCCCTGAATCGTCCTCCAGCAGCGGGCACAGGTCTCACATGCTAATTTATGCTGCCTTCCTGGCCAACACGCACCACCATCTATGTCTACGCAGCCTCTGTGGAATCTTCTAGCACTGGGTCTCACTCCACAGATCGGAACTCATAGTGATCCTCCTGTTTTCATTTTTTTTTAATTTCTTTTTTTTTTTTTTTTTTTTTGTATTTTTTGGGAAGGGTCTGCGGGGTGTTCAGGGTCTCACTACTCCACCAAGCTATTTGGCTGACCCTGGAATCTTCTAGAATCCTACGCTATACCACCAGCCTGGTGGCCAGTGCATGCCAGGTCCCAACATAGGATGTTAGCCCCTTAATCTTTTTGTTTGTTTGTGTTCTTGAGATGGGGCCCGCACTGTGTAGTTGTGGCTGGCCTCAAGTTATTCTCCTGCCTCAGCCTCCCCAGCACTGGGATGACAGGTGCACTTGGTTTTGTATTTTTATATATTGTGTGGGCTAAAACATAGTTCCCAGTTACTCAATCAAGTGCTAGACTAGTCTTTGCTGTGAAGGGATTTCACAAATGAGGTCCACATTTTTTTATTTGTGTGTGTGTGTGTGTGTGTGTGTGTGTGTGTGGCCAGCTCAGCCCACCAGGGGGCGGGACTGGCTGGCATGTGGTGCTGGGGGATTGAACCACGGTCCCTGTGCTTTGCTAAGCTTGTTCTAAGTAGGTGCTTTAGACCACTGAGCCATCGCACCAGCCCCGAGGTCCACATTTATAACCCCCTGTCTTTAAGTGGGGGAAGATTTCCCTGTGAATGTGGGAGTCGAAGGCTTCACAGACTCCTCAGCTGGAGGCCTGAAGGGCAAACTGAGAAGGGAGGGATTCTACCATCAAACCTCAGTGGGCTCCTGTGAGGTGGCAGATGGCTGCTGGGCATGGTGGCCTGCACCTGTCACCCCAGAACTCTGGGAGGCTGAGGCAGGAGGATTGGGAGTTAGAGCCCAACCTGGGCAGCTCAGTGACGCAGCCAAACCTTGTCTCCTTCTTTGTTTTTTATCTTTTTTTTTCCCGGAACTGGGGATTGAACTCAGGCCCTTG